GTAGGTTGCAGCCTCTCGAAGGTGCATCATTGACACCTGCAGGGTGAGTGAGCCCTGTACGTTGCCAACCTGCAGCCTCCCGGTTGCCAACCTAAAGAGGCCGTACGTTTTGAAGGTGCACTATACACGTTTGGGGGGTTCGGTGATTCCAAACATGAATTTATAGTAGACTCGATGTTGATAGATTTTGTTTGTATTGGTGTTGCAGGTGACTAATATTAATTGAATAGCAGCTGTTGCTCAAGGTTTCCAGATTGCAGCCTGCTGCGCGCGGATTTGTGAGGTCGAGCCATGGAGGTCGTCAGGGAATCAGAGTTGGACTTGGACCTGCTGGTCTCCTGGCTGATTATGTTGGGCTTGGCTGCACATGCGGTATGACATATATTATACGTTGTTGTTGTTGTCGTCGTTGTCGTTGTTCTCGTTGTTGTTGTTGTTGTCGTTGTCGTTGTTCTTGTTGTTGTTTTTTGTTTTTGTTGTTGTTGGTTGTTGGTTGTTTGTTGTTTGTTGTTTGTTGTGTGCTGTTTGTGTTTGTGTTGTTGTTGTTGTTGTTGTTGTGTGTTGTGTGTTGTGTGGTATGTGTTGTTTGCTGTTGTTTGTTGTTTGTTGTTTTGTTGTTTGTTGTTTGTTGTTTGTTGTTGTTGTTGTTGTTGTTGTTGTTGTTGTTGTTGTTGTTGTTGTTGTTGGTTGTTTGTTGTTTGTTGTGTGTTGTTTGTTGTTTGTTGTCGTCCTGGTTGTTGGTTGTTGGTCATTTGAGGGCTGCCGTCATGGTTTTGCGGAGCAAGCGTCAGTTTGTAGATGAATATACGTGATAATACGTCCAAGATGGAAACATATTATATGATGGGGCCGGAGTGTAGCGTGACAAGACCACAACAATGTTTTGCGAGAAAGGCCTGCAAGATTGCAAGGTTATATCCGTATCGCCCGATCGCCTGACTCTACTCGAAGGTTCGGCGGCCAAGCGGCCAATCCTTTGCGTCCCCGTGGCGACGAGGGTGTGGCTCCAAGCCAATGACACTCCCTGAAACAATTATGGAAGTGGACCAGTTCGGTCCCTGGAAGACCATTTTCCTCTACAAAAAGGTCCTTGTCAGCTTCCATGATTGTTGGAGGGAGGATATATGTTACACATTAACTATATATATATACATATCAAACTTGGGGATCGTGCCATTTGCTCTGAAACCTCGTATTCCTTGTATTCCTTGGACACCAGGATCACCAGTATCCACTGTAGTCACCGATTAAGTTGCTCGCATCCTCACAGCTTTGCTCCACCGCCGGTCCAAAGACGCCATTTTGGGCTCGTAGCGGGACTGCTTGAGCGGCCGTGAGCTTCCGTCGTTGCCCGATGACGGCAGCTCGGCTGCAGATACTGGTAAATATGTAGTTTGTATATTGTTCTGTTATCTATAGAGGTTGAACACCACCTGACTACTTGACTGGGGATGCTTGGGATATGTTGGAGGAGCCATGGCATGGATAGGCAGAGTGAATAAATTGCTGTTGCTGTTTTTTGTTTTACATGTATGTCATTCCATGTTGGCCCGGTGGAGTACCAAACCTGCCAAAACCACGAACTCTGAGTGGTGCATGTGGGACAGTTTCACCCCATGTCATGGCCATGTCATCCGCCCTGTGGGTGCCCGTTCTGCACTGAGGAACCCTTGGTGAAGAAAGAACTGGAAGGAGAGCCACGCTTGAAGGTGATCGGCGCGGGCTGGGGCCGTACGGGCACCAACAGCGTGAAGATCGCCCTGGAGAAGTTGCTCGATGGACCATGCTACCACATGCGCCTGGGAATCAAAACGGGCAGGACAGTGTGGATGCATTGGGCTAATTGTTTCTGGGGGAATTCAGTGAAATTGACGGGACATCATGGTTTGGGTGACCAGGTGGAATTCCTAAGAGCTCCAAAGTAAGACTTATGATACCTTGTCCATGCCGCCTTGACTTTCCTTTTTTTTTTCCGACCACCGGGTTTCTTGGATCCCCCTGGATCTCGGCTCTCCGTCGCTCCGCCCCTGGGATTCCGGCACCTTCCGCCGCGATGCCGTTCTTCGCGCGCGTACCGACAGCGTTTTGCGAGGTTTGAGTGTGTGAAGCGACCAGACTACCAGAAGTGGATTGATGCGTACAACGGAAAAGAAGCTGATTGGAAGGGCATCTCAGCTGAAGATCGGTCTGGACCATCACAACGTTTTGTTTTTATTGTTATGTTTTTTTCGTTTTTGGAAGGGACACGAACGTGACGGAAGGGATTGAAGGTCGTCATCCGGCAACAGCTCAAGCAACAGCAATTAGCAGAAGGGTTATAAGTATATAGTCGTAGTTGAGAAATATGTGTATATATATATATATGTATATATATATATATACTGTATGATATGTTGATATATGCTGTATGTGTACATTTAATCAAGTACACATATAGTCTATATATATAGGTATGTTTTTTATATCTTGCTTTTGTTGCTGCTGCTTCTGCTGGCGGCGGCGGCAGCGCGGACCTTGCCGCGCGAAACCAAGGCATTTTTACTCATCCAGATGGGGACAAGTTCTACGTGGCGACAGTGGATTATCCTGCTTGTGGCTTGTACAACAAGCTCATGGAGCAGTATCCTGATGCCAAGGCCATGGCGCTCACTATGCGAACGATTTGTTGGACAGAGTAATCGTTGTCATTGTTGTCATTGTGGTGGTGGTGGTGGAGTACGTCATGCGACGGCTTGGCGTTTTGTTTATGGTGATTTTGAAGCATCGATCGCCAGGTTGTTTTGATCATCCCCCTCGCCTCATCATTGCGAATTTGTTCCATGACCCCAGCCAAGAGAGGACACCGCATCAAAATGACCATGCAGTATAAGCATGAGCATAGTATATCACAGCACATGAGGCGGCAGGCTTTCAGAATCTCACCAGACTTGAGAAGGTGCGTCAAACCTCCAAACATGCCCAACAAGGATCAAACCATCCACCCACTCCGACCTGTAAGAGCCTTTGGTGGGGAACGAACCTCCATCCACCGACCCGGTCTCCCGGCCTCCGACCGGGAGGTGCTGCTGACGGTGCGTGACCCCGAGAAGTGGTACGACAGCGTCATCGACACGATTTGGTCGTGGCGCTGTGCGGAGCAGAACTGGTCCGTCTCTCGGCTCCGCGGGCGATGATGTGGAGGGAAGTGTGGTGAGGCTAGCTGGGGGAGCACACCGGGGGAAGCCGGGGGGTGTGCAACACTCGGCCCAGGCCTACTGAACTGGCAGATTGATCGATTTTGTTGGTCATGGAATCATGGGGTCTTACAATGAAGATATGTTTGATACGCGCATGGAGTGTTTGGTAAAGGAATTGTGAACAATAGTTGCAGAAACGGACATCCCCAATCCAATGTCGTTCCAACAGACTTGACTGCCCAGCCAGTATCCCTGTGGTTAATGAATTTCATCATAAGACATCTCAATAATTGCAACATAGATACTGTAAATCCAATGACCGTTTTACATAAGTAATATATATATATACAGTACATATTATATAGTATATTAATACAGTTTGTCATAAATGGTTCAAGCCATTTTCGCTCAAGTGGTCACTTCCTGGGGTGTGAAGGCATGGAGATTCAAGCACTCTCTGGTGCCACGGTCGCCCAGCTTCATGAGGAGGAACTCAGCTACATGGTGGAGAGTGGACAATCTGTAAAGGATCTGAAAAAGCTCCTAGCCGATCGAATTGAATACTCAAGATTTCGACAAAGACTCTTCAGTGAAGAGATGGGCGAGCTACAGGATGATATGCCTGTCAGAAAGCTACCAGGTTTGCAGTTGGTGATTTTGGACTTCTGTGCGCCTGAGGAGGCCAATTGGGAGGCGCTACTCCATGCGTGTGAGAACAATCGAGTTGTTGAAGTTGAGCAGTTGCTTCAGAAACCACTGGATCCCAATAGGAGAGGCCCAAGCCCTCAACCTGAATGGCCTATGTTTTCCGCTGCGGCACTGGGCTATTTGGAAGTGGTACGAATGTTGCTCGAGGCTGGAGCTGATATGAACGCAGAAAATCAAGATAGGTCAACCGCCCTGATGTTTGCAGCTCACAATGGCCACTTGGAAGTGGTG